CTAGTCACTGTTAAATTTTCCTTTGGCCATTTAGATTTAACCCACCATGTTAACCTTACTTTAATAAGTTCCAAGGCTTTCATAACATTCCAAATTTTCCCTTTCAAAACAATTTCATTTATAATACGCCATATAAACCATACATAATGAAAGAAGATATTCTCCACACTTTCCTTTTGACCATACCCACTCGTCAAAAATTTCAAGCCATGAAAAATGAGGCAACATCCTCTAGCATATAAGCAAAAATTCTCCAACTCCTTAAACCACAAGCACCATAACCTCCATGTCTCCATACAAGTGAAAAATAGATGAGAAATCGATTCCATACATTTATTGCATATAACACACATGGACACATTTCTATGAATCAATTCCCTTTTAACCGGCTCCTTTTTGATAGCCACTTTACCTTTAATCACTTGCTATACAAAACACTTCCGCCTTTGGAGGTGCAAGCCTGTCCAAACATTTCTCCACAAATCAACATAGGTGGCATTATTGTTAAGCATCATTCTACAAAAAGAATTCGGTGAGTAATAGCCGCTAAGAGTGTATTTTCAAACAAATTTATCCTTCATTGCTTGGTCAATTTGGATGGAGTTAATGCATTGTTGAAATTGTTCCCATGTCCTCCAACTCTTAATCCAGAACCCTTTTTTTTCACATTATTAGCCCATGAACCAAAATCCTTGATTTTGTCAATCTTGTTTATAGCTAAAGTATAGATACGTGGAAATGTCATCCTAAGAATGATGCCTTCGATCTATTCATCTCCTAAAAGTCAATGTTAGCATCATTCCTCACTCTGAAGTTAATACCTACACACAAAAAAGTAGAAAATCTCCATGAAGGGGTTAAAAATATTCCTCCAAATGGAGGATGGCCTCTTACCACCCAGATCAAATGATATAAGACTTAAATCACTCCCCCCCACAACCCTCTACCTTGTTTTTGGCAACAATCCTTAAACTCTCTCTTTCCTTATTGTATCTCTAGATCCATTTATTTAAAAAAGCTCTATTTATCAACCAAAGATCAACAAAATCGAGTTCGCCTCCCTCCTTCAAGCTATAAATCGAATCCCAATCAATCCAATTAACTTTTCTCTTATCAGTTGAACCACTTCACAAGAAGTGTCTCTAAATTCTATCCAACTTCTCTTTTACGCCTTGTAAGATCTCGAAAAGTGACATAAGGTAAATAAGTAAATTTGAGAGAATTATTATAATCAATGTAGCCCTCCCTTCAATAGATGGTAGCTTCGACTTCCAACTCGCAAGTCTTATATCAAATCTATCAATCACGAGTCATCAAATGCTTTTAGAATGATATTTGATCCCCAATGACAGTCCCATGTAAAAGGAAGGTAGTGAACTAACCAACCATACACGGGATCCTATTAGCCCAAGACTCTACTGCATCACCTACAAAATGTTTGCTTGTTTTTGAATTGAACTTTTGAGCTTTGTACTTATCTAATCCCAATAATTTTGTTAACCGCTAATTATTGGTAGAAAGAAATACACAACATGGTTTATGCTTTAAAAAAAAAAAACAAACATAGATATTATAATTGGTGTAATTCAAATCATTATATATGGTAAAAAAAATGATGCCAATAAATGGACTATGCCAATCAAAATTTGCACAAAGCAATAATAATATTATAATGTTATGTTATGAAGTTAAAGCAAAGCAATTATGCTACAATAAGATTAATTGAATATATTAATTATAGAAAAATAAAAAGTAATATTTATCAATCATGTAAAATCGATCCAAAACTCTTTGTTGTTTTTCTTTTACGATAACAACTTCAATTTGTTAGATGAAACATGACAAGTGGATGCACCTCACACACAATAACATAAGCCCAAGTCATATTGTAATTCTATATCAATAAGAGGGCTCACGAAAAAATGCATTCGATGTGCTAATTGTAGTTAGACCCAGCTCATGCTTGTAATTTTATGTGTTCTTCTTTACTAAATAATACGGTTACACTAACTAATAATTAGAACTTGACTTAATTTGGTTCTTTTCCTTTCTTTTGGAGTTCTTTTTAATTTGAATTAACTGGCCTAGTCATGATAATTAATTGAGAAAAAACTGTTGGAATACTGTGCAAAATTTTATCATGCATGAATGCCATAGAGTATATGTCAAAGTAAAGCAGATATTATATCCATTCATTTCATCATCTTATTTGAAATAAGGAATCCAATTTCAACTTCTAACTTGGAAATAAAAACCTAAGTTAACAGGTGAGAAAGCCACACCAAGCAAAAGCAAAGAGAAAGAAAGAGCATAGGCATAAATCTTGGACGTGAGCAGATCAATTATACTAGTAAAAGCAAGAACAGCTTCCAAAAATAACAAGAGGAAAATCCAGCAACCAAATGAAGCATCAAAAGTAGACAATTCATAAGAAGAAACTTTTTGCAGTTCCAATTCTAGCAATCCAATCACTGAAAATTAAAGAAAGTTAAAGAAGTAATAGGAAGTACCCAACCGCTTTAGACGTCAAGATTGACCCAAAGGATTAAAGAGCTCCCATCTCCAGGAAGGCCTCGACAAGGCACAAAGTCGAAGTGCCTTGTTTCCATATCATATATAAGATAGTCCCCTTCACGAATGTCCGAAGAAATAGATGCAGGTACCCTTAAAGGAAGGTTCGAAATTTCCAGTCTTTGCTAGATGGTTACCACTGGGGCTCATTAAGGGTGTACAACCATCCGAATCATTCACTTCATTACATTTTTCCCTAAAAATATCAAACTCAAAACATCAAAAAGTTTACCATCAGGATCCTCTTTTCTACAGCAAACTAACAAAAGATGACCATTAAGCGAGATTATTAAGAAAGCACCATCAATATTATGAGTCAAAATGGGCTCAGGGACTAGGATTGTTTCATTTTCTTTTACTAAAATTGCTGCAGGTGGAAAATTCCTGCTGGCATAAATGCTACCATTATTCAGGATAGCATCAGAGATTTTCCAATTAGGAGTCTTGCACAAAAACCAAGCCCAGCTTTCGTCACCTGGTTTGCAAAAGGCTATTGTGCATGGGCTTTCATCATGTGAACCACGAGGAAGAAGAAGAAGAATCATGCAATCTGAACTTATACATGGGATGCCCTGATAGAAGTAATTTCCACTGGAAATGAACTGATCTGAACTTATCATGTGGGTCAGGAAACGATATTGGTAAAGACGATAAGGGTGGAAGAAGGATTTGAGTTCTATAGAATATATTCAAAAGATGCATCCTAAGTGGGAAACCAAAATGGTCCACGGTTAACAGCCAACCATTGCAGCAACAGCAAATACACTTTCCCATAGCTTCAGGTAGGCGAATCTTTGGCGTTTCTTTATTTAATATATTAAAGAAGACAAGATTATGATCTATATCTTTCTCAGGTTGAATGAAGCATAGAGGGAAAAATCTTCGATATACTTGTAAGGTAGTCGGTAGCCATGATTTTCAAACAGCACCACATCGAAGAATGTCGTTAAGATCTTTCGCAAAATCAAAGATCAAATGCAGAATCTCTACGGGAAGATCAGACCAAGAGGATGGTGAAGCCATTGAAATCAATTATATTATCAACACTGAGTCACCTCTAAGCATTTCTATTAAAATAGAAAACCAGAGAACCCCAGCCCTAGATTACGACTCTTGATTAAATATATGCCTCTGGATTTCTTATAGCACTAGTTGGATTGGACAATGTTCAAATTTAATTTAAATCAATAATTTCTAAATTTGACGTAGAATTATAATATTTTCATAATATCAATTTATGAACCAATGTTTACAGAAATTTATATCCTATAAAAGGAATGTTATAAGGTATGTCTAATTATCTTAAACACAATTAATATATATGTCTAATTATCTTATATGCATGTCAATCATCTTCAAGAAGATTTGTCAAAAGGTGATAACAACACACATCGTTAATAAAGGAGTAATTAATGGCATATATTCACTGTATTTACCATGCACAAGCCTTATGGTCATTAACATGTAATTGTCATACATGTATTATCAATTTACATTGAATGAAATATTTGTGAGATTCTTGCCACTAACATTTATTTGGGGAAAATTTCAAAATGGGGCAAATGATATAAAAATATTTACAGTTTGTTCTAATAGACAAAAGTATTAATTGGAAAAGAAATAGATCCTTTTTTATTATGAGTTAAACTTATAATTTTCACCCTAAAACTTATTATAATTTTTTTAAAGAGAGGCAATTAATATCATATACTCATTCACACCAAATTTTACTCTTCAACTTACTGTAATCTTGGTTAATTTATCTAAAAAATAAAAAATTGAGAATATCATATGCTCATTCACCTTTGCTTGGTAGATAAAAAAAATGGAAAAATGAAAAATTGTAGAAGGAGAAGAGTGGAAAGATATAGAAACCATTTTTTTTATTTCATTTTATTCATTGGTAGGAAAGAGAGTGAAATAATTTCTTTCCATCTATTGTTTGGTGGCAGAGTTGAAAAATAAATGAAAAATGATATTATTTTTACCATTATTCACTTTGTAAGTTAAGATTAAATTTAAAAAATGATGGATAATCTTGTAATATTTTACTTGACTCACAATTCAATCATTTTTTTTCTACTTTAATCTCTCCATTTTGAAATGATATATTTTTGTGAATAAAGAGGAAAAATAGTAAACTCTCCTATTTTCTTTTCTCTCACTTTTCTTTCTTACCAAGCATTAATCAAAATTATTTTCTTGCCTTCAATCTTTCTATCGATCCTCACACTTTTCAACCCGACCAAGCAAGGCCCTAATCTTGTCTCCATCTTTCTTATGGGTTAACGTGGAAAATTCTTAACAATACCTTGTTAATAAAAACTTACGTTGACGACACTAGAGTCGAAACACTCTTGCTTCATTTGTAATTGTCCTAATAATAATTGACTCTACCTACAAACGCCTTACAACTACTTGGCCAAGTTTTTACATAGCTTCATCAATTCATCTTTTGCTCTCACCGGCTTCTCTCCTCTACTTTATCCTGCAGGAATCTGCACTCATATCAAGGTTTGCACTTGCTTCCCATCTCCTGTGTTTGGATTTCTTCTTCGTCCTTTTATATTTGATTTCTACTAAGTGTAGTATAGGTAGCAAACCCTTCAGTTCTTAGATTCAGATTTACCAATCTGTTTACGCTTATGTGTGTAGCTAGGTCAGTTGAATCATTTAATCAAATTCTTATCAAGTTTGATTTAAGTTAGTGTAAGCTTAGCTTGATTCAAATTTGATTCCAATAACTATTACCATTTTCTAAGAGTTGAAGGTCTAAGATTCAAATATGAAAGTCCACAACTCAGCTTGCTTGTTAGGTGGGCTGGAAAATCAAGCTGGAGTTCATTTATTGCGCTGAAGTGAGACTATACCCACTTGTCGAATTTCACCATCAATGATACATCCCTCCTTATCAGTGGAGGAGTTGTTAGCACTGAATTAACTTCAAGCCACTCAAACATATATAATGACACCACTTGGGCCCAATTGATGTTGTAAGGTGTAGAGATTTGGGTAGCAACTAATTCTGTGTTTAAGCAATTATGGTGCTCCCATCTTCAGTGTGTATAAACCAAATCCCTCTTATGCTAATTTTTAGCTCTAAGCACTTGATCAAATACTGATCATATGATTTTGCCATCACAGGATTTTGACATTTGTGTCTTAGATTTTATGATTTTGTCGTACTTCAACTGAATAATAGTAATTGTATACCCAAATATTTGATTCATTAGTTGATGCATTATTCTCTGTCCAGAAAGTAAAGTTTGAATCTTTTTTTTCTCAATTAAAAAAAATAGATAATATTAACCAATTTATGAAAAACAATGGGATAACTAGGGCCCAACAAATAAAAGAATCTGGCATCTCAGATATACTTATCTAATTTAATTATTGAGAGTAATTTGATGGTCAGATTATCTTTTGCTTCTAAAAGTTTGCTGAAATACGTTTTGATAGGTTCTCTTAAGAGTTTCACCCATTCGTATTTGAGGAAGCAAATTTATGTATATATTGTACCACGCAGGAGCTTGGCAATGGAGTATTCAGGACCAATTCTAGATATTTTTAACATAATATGGGATCCTTTGAGCAAATGCTGCAAGTACCATTGTAACCTCAGTCAATACATGGAGAATCTAAAAGAAAAACTAGAAGAGATAAACTGCCGGAAGGAAGATGTGGAAAGCCGATTGAGAGCAGAGCTTCTGCTTGGAAAGGAGACAAAGAAAGAAGTTGAACGTTGGTTGAAGAAAGTGGAGAAGATTAATGGTGTAGCACAAGCCCTGGAACAAGAAGTTTTGAAAGGAAAATATCTCTCACGTGTGTCGCTGGGGAGACGAGTATGGAAAATGATACAAGAAGTGGACCAACATTACCAGAAAGGCAGCTTCAATGATAGTTTGGTAGTCGACAAGCCTTTGCAAAATCGAGATGAAATTCCTCCAACACCACTGGCAGGTGGAGCTACAACAGAAACACTGTTAGAAGAAATTTCAGAATACTTGCTGAATGATGATGTTAGAAAGATTGGAGTTTATGGCATGGGAGGAATCGGAAAAACAACCATCATGAAGCACATTCACAACAAATTCTTGAACACTTTCGAAGCTGTGATTTGGATCACTGTATCTAAATCACCCAATTTATCTGGATTGCAAAACGACATTGCAAGAAAATTAAATGAAGATTTTTCAATATATGAGGATGAAACAGAGAAGGCGACCAAGTTATTTTCATTGTTGAATCAGAAAAAGAGGTGGTTTCTAATCCTTGATGATATTTGGGAACCATTTTCTCTTGAGGAAATAGGTATCCCTGAACCTACTTCAGCAAATGGATGCAAATTGGCTTTGACTACTCGATCACTGGATGTTTGCAGAAGAATGGGGTGTAAAGAAGTTAAAATGAAACTTCTTCCGAAGATGGAGGCATGGAACTTATTCTTGGACAAAGTAGGACGTGAAATTTTACTTTATCCAGATTTGAACGCAATTGCAATGCAGGTTGCAGATGAATGTGCCTGCTTACCCCTGGCAATTGTCACAATAGCTGTGAGTATGAAGGGTGTAGTTGATATTTATGAATGGAGTTGTGCACTGGAAGAACTAAGAGAATCCATCAAAGGCCTAAATGAAATGGATAAAGTGCTTGAGCGGTTGAAATTTAGTTTTACTCGCTTGAAAGATGAGAAACTGCAGTGTTGTCTCCAATATTGTGCATTATACCCTGAAGACTTTGCAATTGAGAGAACAGAGTTGATAAGACATTTGATCGCTGAAGGAATTATAGAAGAAAAGAAGAGTAGGCAAGCAGAGTTCAACAAGGGACATGCTATGCTGAACAAACTTGAAAATGCTTGTCTGTTGGAAAGAGTGATACGCTGGGATACTATTTATGTCAAAATGCATGATTTGATTAGGGATATGGCGATTTATATAACAAGTGAGAAACATTTGGTAGAATCTGGAAGGCAGCTGAAGGAGTTACCAGACACAAAGAAGTGGATGAAGGATCTTGAGAGAATTTCCTTGATGAGGAACCATATTGTTGAAATTCCTTGCGACACATCACCAAAGTGTCAGAGACTCTTGACCTTGTTCCTGTCAGAGAATAGAGATCTAGCAAGGATTGCAGATTCTTTCTTTTTGTGCATGCATTCGCTCAAGGTATTAGATTTATCTCATACCAAGATAAAGAATCTGCCAAATTCCATCTCTGACCTGGAGAATCTTACTGCATTGTACCTCCAATACTGCCCAAAATTAAGGTATTTGCCCTCATTGGCTAAGATTGGTGCTCTGAGGGAGCTAGACCTGAGCTATAGTGGATTAAAGGATGCACCCCAAGGTATGGAAATGTTGACCAGCCTTAGATATCTTAATCTCTTCTATTCAGACCTGGAGGTGCTACCGGTTGGAATATTACCAAAACTGTCCAGTCTACAATGCCTTATATTCTGTGGAAGATCAAAGCCTTTTAAAGTGTTGAAACCAGTGGAACTGGCAAGTCTGAGGAAGCTGGAAGCTTTTGGAGGCCAAATGTTTGACCTGCTTGACTACCATTTGTACGTCAAATCTCTAGATGGAACGCCCAGCAAGTACCATCTTCAAGTAGGAACCCATAAACGTTTAAAACTACTTGAAATGCCAGAAAATTATTATAATCGGATTGTAAAAATTGAAGGCATTAGTGGTGAAGGGGAAGAAGACTTAGTGCTCCCTAATGATGTTGAGTTCTTTACTTTGAAGAGGTGCAACTGCTTGGGAAGTTTGATTGATGTTTTGTCATCAAACAAGGAAATTGTGCGCAGAACCTGCAATACCGAACCTGATGGAGACGAATGTGTGCTCTTATCTTCCTCCTCTCGCTCCTGCAGCCTTATACAGCAGGATAAAATTGAGGATTCACAGTTTGTAGTTCCATCATCATCCATTCCATCCCCTGGTACATTTTCCTTTTTGATATTACTTAAGATTCAAAGTTGTTCCAATCTGAGGAACTTGTTCAAGCCTGGATTGCAGCCAAGATTTCCAAATGTGAAAGAGATTGCGATTTTCGATTGTTGTCAAATGGAGGAAATTGTAGCAGCACCAACAGAAGAGTACAGTGAAGGGATAAGTGAAGAAGGCGGCAGCAATCGGAAGGACATGACCTGCTTATTCTATCTCCCAAAGTTAAAGGCTTTAACATTGTCCAAGCTACCAGAACTGAAAAGTATCTGTAGGGGTTTGATGACTTGTGATTCTCTCGTTTATATTACAGTATCCTGCTGTCCAAAGCTAAAAAGACTTCCCCTCGCTCTTCCCCTTCTTCATGGAAAACCATCTCCTCCTCCTAATCTCAAAGTGATCAATGTGCAAGACAAAACATGGTGGAGATCACTGGAGTGGAACCATCAGGAAGAGAAAAAGGCCCTTCAACCCTTCTGCCAGTATTTGGAGCTTTAGTGGAGTATGGAAAAAGTCCAATCTCTTGTTTGCCAGTTTCTCTTTAATAACTAGATGCAAATTTTTCATAATTAGATACAAGGAGCTGTTCGTGTGGGTTGGTTCTATATCTTTTTAATCTTTTATCTTAGTTTTTGCATTTTCTTCTTCTTCTTTTTTTCTGCATGACATGACATCCAAGAAATGGAATGTCCTTGTGGAGAAGAACGCGATTGTCTTGCATCGTTATTTGGTTTTTATGTATCATTATCTGCTATTCAGTAGTTTGATTCGGAGCCAGCAACAACAGGGGAAAAATGTCCTGTGTGTATCACTGCAACTATCATAAAAGGCCAAAACATTGTTATGCAAAATGAATCCATATGAATTGGGTGTGTCGTTCAGAAAATTTTCATTGTCTTATGTTACAACTCAAATATGAGAAAATGTCCAAAGGCAGCACTAGCCATTTACAATTTCAGGAAGTGAAAGAGAGTCACCAGTGTTACTCCCATGGAAAACACATTTTACCATTTGTGTCCACATCCCCATCTTAGGAACAAAGCCTTGTTGCACCATCTGTTTCAAAGCCCAATCAACTTCCCTTACCAGCTTCTCCTTGCAAAAACCATGAATCAACTTCTTGTACGAATCGAAACTCGGACTCACCCTCTCCAAAATCATTCTCCCCATTAACTCTTTCGCCTCCATAAACCTCCCAGCATCAAGCAAACCGTACAAGACCTCTTGATAAGACCCCGCATTCGGGTAACACCCTTTTCTTTTCATCTTCTCCAAAAGCTTCACCCCCTCTTCAACCCTGCCTTGCTTCCTTAGTCCCGAAATCAAAATATTAAAGCTAACTGCATCCGCCTCGATTCCTTCCTTTTCCATCCTCCCCATCAACTCAAAAGCTTCATCAACCTTCCCCTTTTCGCACAAACCATGCATTAATGTCGAAAAAGTCCTAACATTAGGCTTGCACCCTTGTTTAGGAAATTCATCGAGCACTTTGAATGCCGATTCTAATTTCCCATTTTCACATAACCCTTTAATAAGTATATTCAAAGTGCAGGCTTCAATTTCGATACCCAACTTGGGAGCTTTCCCATAAATCTCATGAACTACATCGAACAATTTATTAGCTACGAGCAAGCTCAAAATGATATTGAAGGTCTTGACAGTAGGCCAAGTCCCATGGTCTGGCATACTAAAAAGGGTCTCAATCGCCCTTTTTATCCGACCACCACAATGCCCATATTTTTTTATTACATTTTGGAAGAAATCATCGGATAAACTGCAAGGTTTTTTGTGTTTGAGCTTTTCCATGATGTTTTCAATGGAATCGAAATCCTGGGCATCGGCCAGTTTGTTAATGACAAGAGTGAAGAGAGGTTCGGTTGGTTTGTAATCTTTGCGAGCTGAGTATTGGTTTAGAACAGAAATGACGGAGGTTGGTTCTTTAAGGTTGTCGAAGATCTTGAGGATTTCGTTTGGGGAGAGCCAGTCTTTGTGGGTTAGTTTGAAAAGTGGAGGGGAAATGGGGGCTGTTGGTTGCTGGGTGGAGAACGGAAAGGAAGAGGAAAGGGGCTCTAGAGTTGGGATTTGGGTGGCGATTGGATGGAAGGAAAAGGAAGGAAAGTTTTTGATGGAGGAAAGAACCGAACGTGAGATCATGGTTTTAGACATACGAGAATGAAGAGCTGGGAAGAGTTAGGGAGACCTTGTGCTTATGCTTTCTGGTCATTTGGACTTTAGGAAGATATATATAGGCCAAGGGAAGGAAAGAGAAGGGAAGAAGAATTGAAGGAGATTGTATGATATGAAACAATTATGAATTATCGACTCTTATTAGTAATGTTGGTGATATTAAGTTTGTCAAGATGGACATAAGCAGGAAACAGCCTAGGAGTTACTGCACTGGTCTTGCAACAAATTTCATAGGTATTTTTAGTTTTCAAAAGGTTTAGGTCCCTTACTGCTCAGCTGGATTACTTCAAACAGGAAACAACAGCTTGCCAGGTTTAGTTTCTTCAAATTTCTAACTTGCATTTCTATACCAGCAATTGAATGAATCAGTGTTATTTACAACTATGTATGTTTTTGAGATCTTTTGCTGTTTTACAATGAAAGTTTGTCAAAAACACTTTTGACTGTACAAATAAAATGCCAGAACCCTTATCAGTGTCAAAAGATTATGTCTGCTTTTTCTTCCCTGCCAGAATTGGTTGGATTTGCAAATGCCTATTGAAAGCCTGATTGAAAAGGAATCGAGTTTGGAATGCTGAGATGATCGGAAGCCATGCCAAAATAGCAACTGGTGCAAACAGAACCGAACCCATTCCATAATCGTATGCTTGAGCAAGGACCTCGGTGAAGTGCCAGAATCCGGTTTTTCCTATTATAGGCCTCACAGCTTGAGCAACCTGAAGAAAATAAAATATAAGAGGGTATATGAGAAAAGCAGGGAAGTTGAAACAGATCAGGGGAGAGAACAAACTCATCTAAACATACCAGTATCAAACCCCATCCAGTTGGCAGAAATGCTAGACAGCAGATGATTACATCCTTCAAAGATAGTTCACAGATGATGGAGAGAGTAATTACAATGGCAAAACAACTTAGGAAAAGGAATGCCTTAAAGAACCTAAACATCAGATGATAATTAGCGCTGAACAGTTGCCTTCCGATGTTTACTGCCTGTACATCATGTGGAGAACATGTTATAGCGGTTTAAACAGAAAAACAAACGGGGTGCTTTGGTGCAAAAATTCGTAATTAATCAGATTTTGCAAAATAAAGCTCGTATCAAGTGAGAAAATTAAAGTGATAATTGAAAAGTAAATTATTTGAATGATGTTGATTGACCAGTGTCATGTAGTACAAAGCTGCATGATGTGTATAGTTTAGGTAAAAGTGCAAAAATATACTTTCAAATTAAGAAAAGAGTAATGAATTTACCTTAACTGTCAGGAAAACTGCAAGAATAACAACCCAGGAAAGCACATAAACCAGAAAATTTTTGCTCTGTTGGGAGATGTCAAGATGATAGACCAGGCCATATTGATACAAGAAAAACCGAAGAGACAGAAGTATTTCAAACAATCTAGCACCATATCCTGAACGACGAAGGTGAGCCAGTTCATCATTCCACCAAGACTGCCAACTCTTATCTTGCTGAATTCCAATACCCCCTTGCTCCTTGATCCACTTATTCCAGCCTTTCCAATCATCTACTATCTTGTCCCAACTGAATCCAGAAGGATTAAATAGAAACGGTGCAAACAACCAAGTTATGGTCATGAACCAAACAGAGTAAGTGATTAATACATATGCCATGCTGCTCTGATAGGACCTCCTGAACAAATCATAAACAACTAAGAGGAGCAATAGTTCAAATCCTTTAACAAAATGACTTCGTGAATACAATCTGTAGTTCTCAGTGAAGCTGGCATGAAACACCACAACCTTACGTCCAGTAGGCATATATTTAGCTCCCCCATGCATAATTGTTCGACCATAATAATGGGTTTTTGTTCCAAGGGAAAAAGTAAAAAAAACAGCAGCAAGCTGCAGTTGCATAAGAACAAAATCTTTAAGGGCTGTAAGAAAACCTTTCTCAAGTCCAATCTCCATCACCATTGGTAAGCCGGTTAAAAGCCCAAGCTGGATAAATGATTGGGAAGCAAGGGCTGTTTCCAACGATTCTATGTTTTGCATTCTAGCCTCGAGGAGGAGTGCCTTTTGCAGTCCACTAAGAACCAGGTATAACTGTCCGTAGAGGAACACGTAAATTCCAATCACTGAAATCTGGATTTTTACAGCAGAATTAGAGCATAAAATGAGAAGGGTAAATATCAGAAAAGCTAGGGATAAACTCTTCTAAGTTAGTAGAAAAAATGATTTAACTATATTCATTGCAAACAATTTGACATTTCCACACAACACTAAACAGAACTACCTTCAGTTTTACTTAAATAGAACCAGGAGCTTAAGAGTCACAATGATTATTTCCCATCATTTTGATAGACCTCCAGGGCAGTCCATTCCCAGTTGTAGCCATATCAAATTATGATAATCATCCAGTTTTTTCAAATTAGTATCTGATAATGTAAATACCTATACATTTATACAAAAAAATTTACAAGAAAGATTTGGAGGTGCATCCAATAAAATTATTAGATACTTTTAGAAACATTTTAAACACCTATTGAACCTTAAAAAAAAACCTTACACATATATTAATAATGATAATCTTATTAAAATACCTATTGAACCTATGTTAACCCTAACCACATATTAATAATGAGTTTTTAGTTAAATGAACTATATAAATATGACGACACTTGCATGATAAACCCGTCCTATGCTTTTCTTATTCTTAAATTCAATCTTAAAAGGATAGTATCCAAAGGTTTACATGCAGGCAGCATCCATTTGGAAGTCTCTGAAACTCAGATCCTCCAAAGGCAAAAGGTTCACCTTCAAATGACATACCAAATATGTATCAAGGAGCATCAAGTGACACCCTTTCAGACAGATGATATTACTATTCTCTAGAAGTAATTTCTACTGCATGGAAAATTAACAATACCAAGAGGTCAGTAACTTATCAGATGATAAAACATGAGAAGCTTCTTGAGAAAGCTCAACTAGTGAAATAATGAACATCTTTCCTTATTCTTTTTATCACCAAACTAGGCATAACTGGCTGATAGAAAGAACAAATTACTAATAAAACTAATAAACATCTTGTTGGTTTCTTTTCAGTTTTCACCTATATAAACCGTACTTGTCTGTTTCTATTGTATTTTACATAAATCCATTCTAAGAAATTTGGTCAGTAGTGTGATGCTTCAGTGGTTTTGATTCAGCATAGACTATATTTAAAACTTTTTTTTACTACCAAGAAGAGATACTAAATTTATCAAGGTTGAATACCAAAAACATCAGCTAATTCAGTTTGAAAGAATTACCAAGCTACTGAAGTAAAATCCAATAGTTGTGAAGTAACAAGATAGCATCCGAAAAAAATCAAATTGACGTCCAAGACGGTGTATATCACGGCTTAAAGTTTGTTCACTATTCCCATTAGCCACTTTGGCTTCAAACTTTGAGATTTGATTTAGGCCTACATCACGACCTTTGCCAACTTGCAGGTACTCATGATATGTGATACATCCTCGTCGTAAAGTTGAGTTAAATCCTACACGATATTCAAATATATTTAAGTGTAAAGCAATTATGATTAAAAGGTCAGCATATAACATTTGAAGTAACAAATTCCTACCGGCAAAAACATCCTCACTCAAGTTGATTGTTTTGGATGCTTTGCTTATGCCTCCTCTTGTGATGTGAAACACCCTATCAAATACATCTGGATGCCCATAGTGGAAGCGTACCCTGTATATAAGGAAAAAATAATAGAAATGAATGACTAAAGCAATGATAACATTGGTCGATATCAAAGAATTATAGAATGGAACAATCTGAGCCTTAGCATAGCATGAATAATAAAGAAACATCAAAATAATTGAATTACAAAGATGCCGGATAGCTTAGATAGTAAAGTACTTTGGTAATTTTACCAAGGACTTTGGAATCAAAACCTGCTTTAGCCAGGATAGAAGGGTGTTAAGGGTAGGGAGGAGGCTGTCAATCATTCATGTATTTAATAAAACCAAAAATTCTGGCATCTCAAACATAGACACTATAAAACCAAGATAAGATTGCCCAAAAATAGTAAATGCGTCCGCCCTAACTTATGGAATTCTGGAATGTTAGATGATACCTGATGCAAGACAGACACATGCAGTGCATTATAAGGACCATAATTTACTGAGATCGAGGTATTTGCTAACAGAAATAGGGCACAAATTACCTGAGAGGGTTGGCAAGAAGCCTTTGGCCAATTGTGACAAAGCTGGTTTCTTGATATGACATAAACCATGCCAATGAAGAAACACTGCAGTTTGAAAGAAATGTATTTTCAGTCTTTAAGAAAAGCATGTATGTCCACTATCACATAAAAGAATTACGGATTCCTAGACAAATATAACAAATAAGTGTTCATGATAATTCAATCATAAATTTATAGGTTTGGCAACAATGCCACTATACCACATTTTGGTTATTTAAAATTTACATGAACATTAATTCTAAGCTTCAATGCTAACTATGCCACATAACAATGGTCCTTTTTTTAAGATGCTCTTCCATTTAGGTAAGCAAAAGCAAAACAATATCTCAGATTTTTTATGCAAGGTTTGCCAACTTCATTGATTGTTTCAAACAGAAAATTGTTGTTTAACATTGTGATGCAGCATCCAAGTATTAAGTCAATCCCAGCTTGCAGTCAAAGAGGAATAACTCATGAACAGAAATCCAAATCTGTCTTGGAATTTATATTGGTCCATCCTTGTAGTTAGAATCAATGTAATTTTATGGCGCTTAAGGGGTTAGATCATAGAATGAATATTTGTATTTCTCTCATATCAGAAAAATCAGTCTTGCAGAGCTCTCTGTTTCTTTCTTCTCCTTGCTGAAGACTGATTTTTCCCTGATTTTTCTATTCTTTTCCCATCCACATTAGATTGTCCTACAGTTATTACAGCAAAAAATCATCATTTTGTAATTTATATCATGAACCAAATGAAACATAGGCAATTATGGGGGCACAGGAACTATTTTACAAGAGAAACAAGTTAAAGTTTTAGTTCAATGTTGTGTAGAAAATTTGTAAAAACTAAAGCCACTTATTCCTGAGCCAATATCTAATATCTATAGTCTATTTTAAGTTTACTGCCATGTTTTCCTTTTGATGTGACATGCTTGTAAAGTTGGTTTTTCAGAGATTAATTTTGTCCTCCCCTGTTCACACGCTTTCTCATATTGCTAGATTGTTGTTCATTCTTGCTTCATCTTTATAAAATATTTATTCATTAGCTAATAAATAAAGTCATAGGTCAAATGACTGATTCTTAATAGATAATGCTTTCTTTGAAGTTAGACTCTTTTGGTTTTGTTTTTATAGGTTAGTTACCCAGCTGAAAGGTTATAACTCATCCAGACACAAGATGAGGAATCATCATTTATGGGTTCAAAAAATTAAACCTTCCAGTGAATATGTGCTCTCTCAAACCAAGAATTGTGGGAGGGCGCCGACCATGGTTTTGAAGAAATTCTTGCAGAAGATTTCTCACTTTAAGAGCTTCTTCCAAATAATTGTCCTGTAAAATTGAATCAGCATGAGACTAGAACTACATCCAAGGCATTAAATTTCAACTACTGGAGCAAGACATACTTGGTTCATATCAATTGTTTGGAGAGCTTCTCCACGTGTGAAGATTATAGCATGATTTTGATTTTCAGGCTTCCCTTCGCCAATGATGGGTGGACCAGGAAGCTTTATGCGATATATCACCTGTAGATGAATACTAATCAGATAAGTTTCAAGACAACACCTTAATATAGGGATAAAGGTGGCACGTTAATAGGAATTGTGACATTATAAATATCCATATAATCATATAATTTTAAGCATAGATATGACAAGTCTGCCTTCAATGTAATTCTGTGAATGTTATTAAGTCTATTATTGCTAGTAAATAAACTGACATGGTATTTTATATTTCTACTTTTTTCACTATTATATTGAAATCTCAAAAAGAAGAACTATTTCCTGATACTTTTCATTGTATTGTATACTAATCCTTTGATGGCATGCATTATACATGAGAAATGGCTACATGATAGACTAATAACACTGAACACAAAAAATCGTATTACAAGAAGACTTGAGATAAAGAAAAGGAGTCTAAACATGCATTACACTTTCAAGTATCAATGATGGGATAACAGTCAAAATTAATTGGTATTTAAAAGTACATAACATTTATAACACTGTACAACCTCATGTTGACTAACATGAACTGGAGACAAACACCTGAAATATCTTTTTTTTTATCCATTTTTACAATTATATTTCTCATCCTTCTATGGTTTCTCACAGTATGAAATTGCTTTGAACACATGTGAACATAATCATCAATAGAAGTAAATTTGCAAAGCATGTTAATAAAATGCTCTGACCAACAAGTAGAATCATTTTAGTAAAGTGCAAAGGTATTTATAAAATACTTTGCAGCTTTTGCTCACATAATGATTTTTAATTGAGTTCCATATCCAACTCATGCAATCAGTATGCTATATTTCTCTCATCGAAAGATATGTTTGGTTTTGGTTCCAAGAAAAGTTGAAGATGATATTCAAGTTAGTCTCCCCAAAATAACAAAATTGAACTTTATAATGTTAAAGTAACTTGAATGATCTCCAAGGGACAACAGGAGTCCTGTTCTTAATGAATATGATGACCATCTCTCACCTAGAGGCAGCGAGTTACCTTAAACAAGTCCCCTGCTCACCATATCATCTTTAATACCCCCCCCACCCCCCTACAATTTTCTTTTTCCATTTTGCTATGTTACTCGAAACCATAGGATGTTGTAATTATTAATTAATACTTAGAAGATAAGATTGGTTGAATTTAATTTTCTGGAACTTCATTAATTTTCCAAAAAAAAAAAGTAACTTGAATGATTTATACCTGGTCAAAATTACCCACAGCTTTTGCCAATACAGAAGAATAAACCTTTTGAGGCTTATCTCCTACTATTTCTTCTTTCTCTTCAATATATGCAACACGCAGAGCTGGATACCTACAATCAGCAACGTATTTCATTATTTAGATGTCTAATATACTTCTTATGCTTCAATAATTATGCAGTTTTACAGTATTTGGGAAGTTACCTTCTCATCAAATCTTTTATGTCTTCTGCACGAGGGTCTCCAGAAGATTTTTGTGATCCAAACATTTGACAAGAGATAACATATGTGAATTTCATGTCTGCTAAGGCATCTAATTCAGCAGATAACTTGGGATTATTTCTTTCAATAGCATCCTCAAGAATGTCTGGAGTAACACAATTAGCCATGTGGAAGAGAAGAAAGGCAGAAAAGGTTAATTTGTTTAACCATTCTCATCAATATATAATCTTATGACGTCAGAAATCCTAGGGGATACACAAAAATATTAAACATTGAATCACAAGCAGAGGTGCTAAATGCATTTGATTAGGTTGAGGATCAGTAACCTTTATTCTCAGGCTTTTCAAGGAGTGCTTGTAATTTTAAGGCTTCTCTATAGTACATCATTCCTCTAACTGTCACAGTCAAAGGAAAAGAAAGAAATTAGTGATCATATTTACAAAGCATTTAAGGTTCACTTACAAGCCAATTAATATATATTACTAAGAAATTTCAAGCACCTGTTCTGCTTAGTGTTTGGCCTCGAAAAGAAGCCCAATTTCTAATTTCTTCCTCCTTGCTCTCGTCGATCAGTTCATTCAAGTTTTGATACCCCATACGCTCCAAAAAGTTTTTCCACTCATCTAAGAAAAATAGAAGGAAAATGCTAGGCATTTGTAGCTGTACGCAAACGGATACTGATAAGAATTACTACATAGATAATATTTAACTACCTGGAAATATTTTTTGCATATAGAAGATGATAGAAACTTGTCCTTTGCTTGATTGTAGCTCCTTCATCGAAAAATTGATATCCTCCATGTAATGTGGGGTTATAACACTGTTGGTTCAGATATGTTAATTGATATAACAGGTCGACCATATGCCTTTTAAAGAATTAATGCTGATATTATGCAAGGTTGTAAAGTAATAATGATTATTACAATAAAAATTGCCACATGCATGCAAGTAGCTAATATCAGCAAAAATTACAAATAACATAAACTTGGCATCTTTTTCTTTTCTACCAGCACCATAAAGAAAGTTATTATTAGTCAAAATTCACGTAGAAATATTGCTAATGCAATAACAGAGTAACACAAGATAAGTACAATTAATGGAAAAAGCTTAATGGAAGAGTAAACTTTTGAAGAAGAAGAGGATATCATGAAACTGTTTACATCTAAGTGCTGTACTTGAAACTGTTAATAATTGGTAAGTATAATCACAAAGCCAAGAGAATTGAATTTAAACTTTCTCTAACTTCATTTTTTCCTAAAATACTCGAAGACATATTGGAAGCTTCAAAATTTACATGCATATAATATGATGCTCTAAATATAACGAAAAGCTCTTGAAGAATTGAAAAGCCCATCTCAGATGCATACCAAGATCCAACACTTGAATCTAAGATTTAGCAACATAAAAATCAAATTAAATCAAGTATTCCAAGTAAATTCTATCAAAATTAACAATCCATCTATGTCTATTTCCAATTGTGAGTTTATGTTATTCACGATTCATTTTGCATTATACATAGTATGGTTAGGCTGAACACAGTGCCCCAGTCCTAAAAAATTAAAAGACTATAATCAATCAGAGCCAAATAGACAACTTAGTGAAAATAAATATACAAACTTAGTATCTTAACGAAGAGAAAAATAGTGACAGGAGAAGACAATTCAACCTGAAAGACAGCATCTTGCGTACTTCAGGCGCCCTAGGCATATCCATAAAGAGGGAAGTAGCAAAGAATGATATACGCCTTCGAGCATCTAAGTTTGCAGGTATGTCCATTGCCTTATCTTTGATAGTAAGCAATAAATGCAAACGCTTAATCTGCCAAATAAAGATTTAAATGTTTTTGTAAGTATATTTTTCAAAATTACAAACCTGAATGGCTGCATATTTGCTTAAATTAGTATACAAACTTATTCTACTATAAATACATAACATGGGTGCACATCTGTGTCAATGTACATGCATGAACACCTGTTCCATGCATGTGTATAATAAAATACAGACACCAATCTTGCTAAACAAATAGCCACATCAAAGCAGTATTTTGATCTTTTGAGACTGATATTATATTGGCAAATTGGAAATGCCTCTAACTAAAAGGACGGGAAGAGAGAGAGAGCATTTACCTGTTCATTCAAAGGGCCATCGTCTGGCAAGGGAAAATAGATAGAAGTCTTGCCAGCAGCAGATTCAAATAACTGTGGTTCAATCCTTCTAGAGAAAGCAGTACTATCACGCACAGTTTCTTGGGAGGATTCTAGCAAATCCAATACTCTGCATGCATTTAAAGATGAATTTCAAAAAGGTTAAGCACTAGAATTTATCTCTCAGAAATGGAATAAGAAAAGAGTCCAAGCATGATAACCTGTGGCCATTTGCCATCATATCATTTGTTACAAGCTCAAAGATATCTTGGAGAACTTCCACAACCTTATCATATTGGTTTTTATCTCCCTCAACCTTATGTTATGCCATGGCCGTGTTATGAGATTTGTTAGAGAAAAATGAAAAGAAAGAATTATTAGCAATTTAGCATTGGCAGTGTAACACTTACTAGCAATTCAAGCAACTCAACAAATTTAACTTGTAGAGCTGGGAGCTCACTCGTCTTAAAATCCTGAAGAAAACTTGATTCTTTAATACTTCGTTCAATTTCATTCACGATATCGAATACAACCCTAAACAAGAAATACCACAGGTTAACAACACAAGGACAAGCTAAAATTCAGAAGCACTTAGAAGTCCATAATTCCAAATTTATCTGCCTACCAAGAAAAAACAAGATTGGAACATTTTGTTTGTCCACACCAAGAATGTCATACAAAAGAATATACATATAGACATAATGTTCTTCCTACCTCTTTTCCAGATCGCCAACAATAAGAATTTCAAGGATGCTCTTCACTGACATGTAGCACTCCTTTAAAGCAAAGTACATGTACTCATCTTTTCTAATCTTTCTAAAAAGCTTCTCGTCCTTCCCCACAAAATCTCTTGCAATGCTCAGTGCTGTCGAAAACTAACAGAAGGAGGGAGCAATGTCAAGGAGGAATACCGATGATGAGACAAAAATACAATACTTTCAAAACGAAAAACCATACCTTATTTGCAAGAAGGAAAATAGGCCAACGAATAATTCCAGGAAATAAACCTGATGTAGGAATCATCATCAAATCCATTTCCCTGTCAAGAAAACAAATATCTGAGTTAATTACTTATATATATATATATATATATATATCCTTGAAGAACACTTAAGCAACAGAAATAATCAACCTGTTGCTTATCAAGTCTTCTGATCTAAAAGCACTGATAATTTGGTTCCAGACTAGAACAAACTTCTGATCTAAAACTTCACTTTCAGACACCTGAGAAAACATCAGTTAACTATCAGAAAGGGAGAATACAAGACCCTCTTCTCGTCTATCAATGATATTCCAAGTTCTGGATCTTATACCTTGCAAAATATGTTCTGGAAGAAACTCTTTGTTCTACTCTTTTGGCCTTTTTTTGATGGTGGTGGGATAAGACAAAGGTTGAATGCAGAAGGCAAGGAGTGAAATCTACTTCTCAGCATTCCTAATGTCCGGATCTACATAACAAGTGGAGTTAGTCTAGTGCTATGCTGCTTATGAGAGAAAATAAGGTCATACCTCACCAAGATGATGCAAAATGCCATAAAGTCCTCCACAGACTGTACAATAAACAGAATACCAGATCTGTGTGTCCATGAAATACACCTGAGATAATTTTGAAACAGTATATGAATGTTAAGGATTAAAAGAAATCATTGAACAAAGTAATTATGATCGAAGAACTGATTCATTAGTTAAATCTGCAATTTCAACTTTTCCTTTTCTTTTCAAATTATGTTATTGAACAAAGAAATTTATGCACCGAGAACTCATTCATTAGTAGAAACTGCAATTTCAACTTTGCTTTTTCTTCTCAAATTCATTACAGAAAATAAGTGCATTATTAACTTAGTTTCTCATTTCCAATGCTGAGATCAGGTGGATGCCTGGTCTTTTTTATGTAGATATGCAATATGTTTACTTATTGGAAACAAGATTCAGCCAAGCTCAAACTTCCTAATTTAAAGTGAAAGTTGTCAATCTTTGGGCAGAAACTTACGACAATTATGGGAGCCCACACGGCCACAATAGCACCAGCATTACTCCTGACTAGAGAATATAAATATTTCTGATTACAAATGTAACTCAAATGTGACTCTCAAAAGACAAAAGGACAAAGAGTTGAAAAATACCTTTGGGGAAAAGCTCATGCCAATCATATATTTGCACACCAATTTTCATAATTCGTCTCGTTGGTGCTATTAGGGGTTTTATCTACATTGTTCGATTAGCAGTAAGAATTAAAAAGTTGGCTCACAAGTGCACATTTCTAACCGCAATCAAACTTAGAAAGAACACTTGTTTACTAAGCACTTTAGGTTTATACATCACAATAAAAAAAGATCATCTAGTCAGAATTAAATACAGATTTCTTCAATAATTTTTTTTTTAATTTCTAACTTCATCTTCTTCAAATAAATTCTGGAATGCAAAAAAAAACACCCTTGGACATTTTACAACAATCACAAATGAATCAAATGGCTTAGGCCAATACGAACTGAAAAGGTGCAATAGTGCAGAAGACTAACTTATGACTGACACAGTGCTAGTCACGGCACAAGGATATTAGCTTTAATCTTTAACCAGTAACTGGTAGCCCAAGAAGGAAAAGAGAAAAAGAAAATCTGTCCAACCAATCGCAGCAGTTTCATCAATCTTGATTAGCGTATGTCATGCCATAAGAATTTCCTAACTATTAGCTTGACTGTGTTATCCCACAAGAAATGTGAGTCTAAATAAGTTTTGTATAACACAAAAGTATCTTAAGAATATTTTTTTGATTATGAGGTCAGAAATAAATGTAGCATTTTATGGAGCACTGCAGCTTTCATTTTTCAATTTAATATTATATAATATCTTTCACTATAGAATTATATCTGACTGTTTGAGAGATGCTGTTTCTTCCTATATTAATTGTGTCTATCTAGTTAAACAGTTATGGCATTGTAAATAACTCTTCATGCCTAAAATCTCCCAACTTTATTAAAAAAGTGATTATTTACCAAATGGTTCCACAAGACAATCACATATTTGCATTTCATGGTATCATAATTTCATAACACAGAATAAGCAGTTACATTGTTGCTCACCTCGAAACTGTAACTGAACACTAACTTGGTTGACAGCACTAATATCCAAAAAAATGTATACCTAAAATAAAAAGACAAGCATTAGGGGTGATTTAATTTTTCAAGAAATCAGAAACTTATAAAGCTTCACAATGGCAATATGGGTCATACTTGAAAAGTGAAACTTGGGTCTCCTGCATTCCCCGCCCAACATATAGACTAGGCTACAAAGCGAAAAGAAACTTAAGCAATGTTTTCCAAGTTTAAGACCAATAAGCAATACAGTTAAAGATGAGAAAATGTACCAAAAAAGAAAATAGCATGAAATATAAGCTAAACATAAAATGCCTATATCTACTTTTATTTATTTATTTATTTATTTTTTGGATAAATACCTTTCATTTGGTTTTAAAATGTTAGCATGTTTCCACAAAAATCTACGATTAATTAATGAAAATGAAGGTATCAACTGTCTAGATGAAAGTTTACTATGAAATACAGGACAATTATGAAAGGGAAAAATATGGTAAATAAATAAATAAAGCAAAAGAAAGTTAAAGGCATCATTCGTGCATAGATTTTCCTAGCAAAGCAACAACCATTTTTTCATATAACCAGCACTTGACAATGATTTACATTGGTAAATACAGCAATTAAGTATAGTATCTATTGACAGTACCAGTGTGCCAAATTCTTGTTATGATTCAAATAACTGAACAATAACAATACGCAGGTGTTTATGAAGCAAGGATTATTTAGAACTCCACTGAATTTTATATCACATTCAAACTGATTAAGTCATGTATGCAGTAAAAAGAATTTCAGTCCTTTTAGAAATATGAAAAATGTTTAGAAGCTATGGCCATTAGAATGTCTTGCTTTCTAAAACAAAAGAGTACAGATGTTATTAAAAGTTGTTGAAGATTGCACACATTTTAAAAGGACCAAATACAATGGAATTATCTCCTTTCCTTTTCATTAATAGTTTTCTGTACCTTCCAATTTGTCCTTTTCGCAGTTCATCCTCTCTCTTCAAGGATTCTATAACTTTAAGTCTTCTCTTTATCCAAGAATGTGGAGCGAGAGAGAGAGAAGACTGCTGCAACGTGATGTAATATGTCTAACCTTAATGCAAATAAACTTTAAATGACAAATAATTGTATACAATCATATAATCTCAACCATTCATGGGTGTGGGGTCCATGTGAGCTCCATATAATATTCAAGTGGAATGAGTACTGTTCAAGATCAAGAAAGAATTTTTCTTTTCAATTTTTTTTAAGAGGTCATTTTATCCGCCAAGAAAACAAGGTTTCTCATCATTAGTAATAATTAATCAAAATAGTTTTTCAACAGAAACAGAAACAAGAGCTTTTTACTTTGTTTTAGCAACATATTAGATCTTTGATGAGCATCAATTTGTTCATATGCTGGTACATTGACAAGGAAATTAACATGTTCACTAAATAATTCAGCATATTGTTTACTTAACTATAGTACTTATTTTGGAGGGATTTTCAAACAATAATTTTGGTATGGCTTAATAAGCTTATAATTCATGTTTTACATATGTAATAGGGATGAACAATCCATAATAGGTATTATTATTCTAGTGGTCTTCATAGTTGGTATTGCTAGCTAACAACAGCATACCGGCAATTCAATATAAAAATACAAGTTTTGACTGAAAAGAAGAAGTACAGAAGGAATAGTATTTACCTGTATCCACCTTAATATGGTTTTGCACATGCACCAATGTGAGATTTCTATGTACTTGCTAACAGCAGGAACAAAAAATAACACCAGGTCAACTGCATTAGTCATTAAGTATATTGCTACAGCAACCATAAATGAGGAATAGCACCATTCTCCAAGCCAGTTTCCATATGGTGCAGAGTAACAAGTATATTTTCTCCTAGAATGAGCATAATAGACAGGAAGAACAATGGTCCATATCACTGCAATAGCAAGCCTTAGCACTTGTCTTCGTTTTTGAGACAACTCCATTGTGTCTCTTGCTTTCCATGTGAAAACAATATCAAGAATTGCTGCAAGCCCAAAGCTGTATAAGATTAACATTCTTTTCATACATATTCATCATAGATCCGATGGACGTATTTGTGAACATATTTTTGTGCCGTACATGTGCATAAGGTTTGGAGAGAGAGAGAGAGAGATACTGCTGTTACTTGAAATGAGGGACAATAAAAAAATAGATATAGGAAAAAAATAGAGTGCTATTAGGAATATACACACACATATATAGGTTTGTGTACATATATGTTTGTATGTATGAGTGTATATGTGTATGTATTAGCTGACACCTAAAAATTCTGCAATCTAATGACATATTAATCCATTTTTCAGGGAAAAAAATAATTAACTTATTGTACTACATCATGATCATTTAAGTTTCTTTTCTGCCTCACTGGAAAATTATTAGTGTGATACAAAAGAGAGAGAGAGAGAGAGATATCTTTTATTTAATGTCCTCTCCAGAACAGGTAATTTCCTTGTTTATTACTTATGTATGCTAAGCTATTTTAACTCATACCTTGTATGAGCTTAAGCATTGCAGATGTAATGAAGATGCTCATTATGTCCTCCATTATTACTGCATCAAGCACTTGAAGTGGAGATCCAACATCATGGCAAGCCATGATTATCATCGCCTGAAAAGGAAGCAGAGATGATGACCCCAACCCAGAATAAACATTACAGGTAACAGTAATCTGGTAAACAAACCTGAAGGGATAGTATAAAAAAGCTCCACATCCTATCAAAGCTCCTAAAAATTTGCCAAAAAGAACGGACCTCTACAAAATTTGACTTCCCTAACCATTTTGGTTCACGAATCTCCTCCAAAGTTACCTGTGGAGAGAAAGAGGCACATCAGAGCATAAATGATGGGCACATATCAAATATGGAGCAGTTATGACCTTGCAGCTGGAAGCCTAGAATATATTAGTTTTGTGTTCAAGCATAAAGTCATGATCTCCATATTCATTGTGCTAGAAGTGAAAGAGGATGATGGAGAGAAAGAGGGAGGAAGAGTGACAGAGATAGAGAGAGACAAGAAGAGAGATGAGAGTATTGTAAGTCAAGAACAATAAAGCTCGACTAATATGAAGCCATTTTCAGGATTTTCTCCTGCACCAAATAATCAGAAAATCTTTCTTTGCCTATTCCTTTTAATCATGTAAGACAAATTACATGTCACACATTAAAATATATCGCCCAAACTAATAGCCTCAATGAGATTAGTGACTTTGTAATAAATTCACTACTTACAAGGATACATATGTAAATGCTTGTGTGTGAATGTGCACCTGCATATATATTATATGAAAACAATCTAGAAGATTAATGTCAGAATTTCTCTTTCTGCATAGTTACATTTGAATAAGAGGCATTTCAATGCATCTCCAACTAGATTTTATTAAGAAGCATTTTACATCATCAAGATTATCGAACTAATGACTCACTCCCAAGTTACTTCACAAACTTTCCAATCTAAAAGAATGTAGAAGGCTGGCTCTTTGTGAAGTTCTTCACAGCATCAAAAGCGAGTACATTCTCCACCCACCCCCCCCCCCCACCCCACTTTGTTTTCCTTGGCTCCTGTCAAAATAATTAAATCCTAACATCAACACACAAACAACTAGGAGGGATAACATCAATACATGCAATAAAATGTGACCCATTACAGTTAGTATATTTGTGTTTATGGCCTTTTAAAGTCAACACAATGATCTGCCGAGTAAGAACTTGAATAACAACAGTATGCAAGTATCTTCCACAGGCTAAAAAGAAGCAGACAGCTGTGACACAAATTTTAGCAGGTAGAGATGGATAGCATAGTTTTACATTATTGTTTGGTAACTATTTTATATTTTAATCATTCATAGTGAGGGTCACTTACATCATTTAACCCCTGTTCTTCATCTTCATTTCCCTTTACCTTCCTCTTTTCTTTAGCAGTCCTAGAAATCTTAAATTTTTGCTTCTTAGGAGACTGCGTGCAGAAAAAATCATGTTCCAGACGCATAGGCCAACCTATTAGGAAACAATCAGGAGACCTGAAGAAATATTGGCAGTTATAATTACCCAATGTCTTAACTTCTCGAAATAATAATTTGGCAGACAAGCCAAAGAAGAAGTTCAATATAAAATGAAAATGAAATAGAAACCTAACCAGAAGAACTCATTTAGGTCATCATAGTTCCTCCATGTAGAATGGTCAGCTGTTCCACTTTTGTTCTTCTCAGCTTCCTTCAGTTTTTGACAACAGCATTAGATACTTATTAAAGAGAATTGGAAGGATGGGATTAAACTAAGTAATACCTCATATATAACTCTGTATATGGGGGTAACCACATTGCTGAGGAAAGACTCACGGCTTCCTCCATATGCTGGCATGACTGTATCACCAGTTGTCATGCTAACAGCACCAGTTAACATACCATGCAATTCACATGCCATCTGAAGTAAAACAGCAAATGATGTCATAAACTAGTGAAAAATTGCAATAACACAAAATACACTTTTATATACTGTATGGCGATCACTTACTGACCATAAAAATACAACAATAAATACGCATGCAAGAGAATCAGATTTAATATTCAAAACCTTAATATGAAAGTATCAAAAATTTTACCCAGCTGTTCATGTTTTGTGTTTGATCAAATGTTAAAAGTAAATGCTCATGCAAATCACCAAATTATTTTGAACCCAGACTTAAGTTTACAGGTTTAATGTTGCATCAGCTGATGATTGATGACTGACATGATCCTATTCCATAACAGTCTACAGCTCGCAGATCATTTAAATGGAATAAAACATAAAAGAAAAACAGAACAGATTGACAATTTACTAGAGTCAAAATTTCGTGTACAAGTACAAATAACCAACCGGCTAAAAATTTAAAGGAGCAGATTTTTACATGACCAACTTGCTCTCCTAATACTTCCAGTTTTAAATTTCCTTAAGGGGTAAGAGAAGATATGTGATAGTCATATTTGAAGTTGATAAAGTTAGATGGTTATAGCTCTTCCAGCATTGTGGAAATTGGAATTTGAACCACAGAAGTGAGGAAAAAAGAAACATATGTAACAATTCTTTCTTGTATTAATGTAGATTTACTAGTACAGAAATTAACGCAAATTACATCTTATTCTCCTATTTTGAAATATACTAAACAACAAACCAAATGAACAAAGAAAACATTCCATGAATTGGTGAATTAATTCATAACACCAGTGGTGCCGGAGTAAGATTAACCTTTAAGTAAAGGTAATTTCATTCATGGTTACCCACAGCAATCTGTCAATTTCAAGTCTAGAAGCAATGATCATACTTTGACTACAAAACAATTAATTGCATACATTTCGACATGAAGAATTATAATATCTCTTATTGACTAGAAAATTTTTACCTCTGAGGACACAAATAAAAAACCTCCATTCAGACTAGAAACCAAGGAGCTAGATTAATGCCTGCTATGATTTATGACAAAGTGGGTTTCTCTTTCAACATCCTTGGAGAAATCACTATATTAAAATATAAGAGATCCATCTCTTCAGTGTCGAGCACTGCTTATCTCTCTCTATTTACACTATCAACTGTCTTTTTGGGCCTTCTGGCCCTCTGCTTCAGATTTTTTATTGGGACCAGATCAAAAGACTTCTCCAAATCATTAGCTTTGAATAGAACTCATTCCCACTCAAACCTACCAAAATAAGATGTTTAGCAATTTTCTTATCACTATGACCTGCATGTGCAGGCATTATTAAGAAATTGTAGTTTTCCTCACTTTTTATCAGGATAGAAAAAAAAAAAGAATAGATGTTATTCCCACCAGAAAAAAAGACCATCAAATGGTTTCCTCACAATAAGCAATGAAGTATGCATCATGGATCCATACTCCCTTAATCTTTAAATTGTTTTCAAACTCCTGCATTTTCAAGGCATCTGCAATGATCTCTAAGTCTTTCACTGTCATAGTTTATGCTCTCTGTACATAAGAACCATAAGCACATTATACCATGTTCTATGTGACAGCAAACTTAAGACAAAATATAAAACCCAAGTTAGAGGAAGCCATAAGGAATTAATCAACAGAACCATATGTTTGAGCTTACATGGTGAAAAATATAGCAAAGACATTCTGGCATAAATCGCAAGTTTGCAGCCTCTCCCCAGATAAGAAGATAAAGCCCTATATATAGAATTTTATATTGCTGGGCTTCTTGATTGACACAAGGCAATCTGCAAGAACAAATTATCCAGTTGTATGAAAATCTTAAAATTAAAAAAGAATCACTACAAATGTTCAGATTAAAGGGAGTGTGAAACCTAGGCCTGGCCTAGCAGTTACCCTTTATACGAGGGTTGAGGTCTAAGGTTCAAATCCTCTCTATCCCCTAAGATTTATTCACTATGTACCAACCAAAGAAAAAAGTAGTAATGAAAGGGAAAAAAAAAGTGCAACAAAGAGATAGAATCAATTAACAGCAAAGAGATGAACAGAAATTTATAATAGATAATATAAACAGAAGAAAAATACACCGGTTGCCAGCACAAGATGTAAAGATAGAAAATTAAAGAGAAAAATCAGAAATTTGATTCACTCTCTTACCGGATGCTGCTTTTTCTGCCCAAAAATTTGCACCAGTTTGTATAATTTTTGAAAAACTTTCTCATCTGCTCATCAATAGCTGCGTCAACTAGCTGCCATGATAACATGCATGTCAAATGCAAAGAACCTTTAAGCTCAAAATAAAAATAAAAAAATTGAAAAAAAGAAAAAAAGAAGGGAAGAAGCTAAAACACCTTCAAGGTAGATGATTGCTTCTGGGGTTGCCGAGCAAGGACATTAGCAAGAAGTAAAACAAGATGTTCCCTCTGGTTGGCTACATTTTCTTTCTGGAAAAAGACATAATATGAATTTAATGCAAGTCTTCAATGGATTAGATGGAACACAAAGGCCACTATTTCATAACTGTTAAATTTCATATGTCCTCACATGACAGATTATTTTGTTCAGTCAAAGAAAGAGAGAGAAAAACGAAAAAGGATACTTTAGAATACCTGGAACCCAAAAGAATACTGAAGAAATTCAAACAAATCCAAGAAAGCCCCACGTTTCTGAAAGTTTTGGGCTGATGGTAAACCACGGACATTACGAACAACTGCAATAGCAGCTTTAATCTGCAACAGTTCATTAATTTGTCAACAAATCTATTCCATTCAAGCAAATGTTAACATGAATATAAAAGAACACAGAAAAAGTCACAGCACATTCGACCAGTTTCTCCAGCTGTAGCAATGCAAAGGCTCAACAGCAGAGGAAACAGGTGCTGGAGTTTTTGGAAAATCATGTGACAACTACCTCTTACAGATTAAAATATTGAGAAAAAATATCAGAGTTTATTCATGCAGCATCAGACCTCAGGGAATTTCATAATTGCGTGCTGAATACCTCCGTGATCAAGTGGCAGAATGTTGTATGCAAACAACTCAGATTTAGCTTGGATGCTATCTCTGTCAGCAAGGGCCTTAAAAGGAAAAAAGAGATATAACTTAAGATGACAAGTATAGCAACAAAATCCTGCTATTGCAAAATATTGTGGTAAGAAATGTACCCATAAAAAATGTGGCAGGAAGGCTAAAACATAAGAAGAGAAAAATAGAACCTGAGGACCAGCTGTAACTGTCTTTAATACTTCGTACAACACTGAAGCAATTATACATGCATCTATCAACTTCTCTCCATGACTAATTAAGAAAAAAACCACAAATTAAGTTCAAGTAGAGGACATAGATCGCAATCTAAAAAGTTGAGCAGAGCAAAAGCCAATAGAATATCCAAAATATTAAGCATTATTACCTATTTTCTAAATCAAATGCTCCAGCATGCTGGTTAATATATCTCCTGCTTTCATCATAAACACGTTTAAGTTCTCGTAAGTCACTCAGCTCCTGCCTTGTTGTTTTGGTAATTTCTTCATCCTATCAATCACATAGAGCAAGCGAGGCACAATAAATTAAATAAAGGAAGAAAGCAACACGCGGTTACAAATCCCAAAGGGCCATACTAGGAAAAGAATATGAATATAGACAGGGAAATTCATGCAATGAACATGCCAAAATGAAATGCTATGGAAAAAGCAATGTATGGGTAGTAACTGAAGACTGATCAAGGAGGAAATGTACATGAACCTGACTCTAATTATTATCATTTAGTCATTTTCACCACTGTCATTATTTTTCTAATTAAATTCATTTATTTCTCACCCTAATTATTTTGTACTAATCAATTTCTTTGTTTTCTGGCCATGCTGTCATATGCAGGTTTGCCCCTTAATTCGCCTCAAAGTTTTTCATCATAGTCTATAATTTATGGTATGAGATTTACTTGGGGGCTAGTGGCAGCGTCCTAAATTAACCTTATATGATGGGATGCTTTAGAGAGATTTGGCTTGGTAAGCTTAGAGTGGCACTACTAAGGCTTCTAAGGGACTAATCGATTAACCGTTTCTATAAAGCTCAAATACACACAAAGCCTCATCCTCAGCACCATGTTGTTCCTGCAAGTTCATAAATTTCTCGTAATTGTATTGACATTTCACCTTCCTATTGGAGGATGCCACCTTCCATAACACTATACATACCTCATCCTTTTCTCCAGTCAAGGGGATCTAAGATTAATGTAGTGACTTACATTGTCCACTCCTCTCTTGCCTCTCTACAAGGTAGTATTCAGAGACCGACAATGGAGGCCCCATTCAACTAAAACAAGTTTATTGACATTTCTTCTACATTTATAGCACAAAAAAAGGATGTGAAATTCATGAAATAACAATCTAGATAAACATAAGTTGCGTAAACGCACTTAAGAAAACTAAAATACTAGAATTACATATCCAAATGGATTACAGAGATTATTATGCCTGTGCTATTCTAACTCAAAATTATGCTTCTGCTTACAGTGAAAGTATGAAGATAAGGTAAGAAACATTCATTTTTGCTAAAGTTAGGGCAAATGGGTTAAGCTGAAACAAAAACAAGGACAAGAAAGTAAAACTGTAATTAAATAAGAATGTAATGAGTACATGTGCATGTAGAAGAGCTATAAAAGGTAAAATAAGGCATAAATTAGTTGACATAAATATACACACACACCAATCAATATTCTATTTGTCTCAAAAATGGAAAAACCTTAAAATACAAATAAAGATAGTATGAAAAAATCAGATCTAATATCTGGAAATTTTACCTCATTGAGTAGGATAACAACCTAAATAATATTATTGCGAGAAAGAATTCTGGGGAAAAAACAGAAATTCAGGGATCATTGTGAAGAGAATGGCATGGTGAAGCTCAAAGAAATGCATGTATAGAAGGTCATTGGAATTGAGGAAGAATAATGCAAAGGAGAACCAAGGCAGATGATAGCGTTCTGAGTTCTGACTGAACGTATAAGTGACTAACAATCACTTTAGTCTCCTGTCTTCCCAATCAATATGAAAAAACCACCTAAACAACCAACATTTCAAATTTAAGTTTTGATGATAAACTTCAATCTTAGTTCTTACACGTTCAAGCCGCTCAAGAAGTAAAGTTTTAAACTGTCGAACACCCCTTCCTGTTGAATTACGGTCCAAGTTATGCGCTATTTCAAAAGCATGAAAGCGACCTGCTCCAGAAAGCCACATAAATAATTAGTGTTGGATTTCAAGCGGAATTAGAATTAGCCAAACAGAGCTGTTCTCTAACTGATTTATGCCTTTTTTTTTTATAACAATAAAATTAAAAATTAGCACTTAAACTAACATGACAAACCATAAAAGAACTCCAAGGACTAGAACATGAAGTGTTCCATACCACAAAGGTGTGGTAGCTTGACTTTAGTCTCCTTTATTCAGTTACAGTGCAAAAGGTATTAAAATGAGGGTAAAGAAATAAAGTAACAATTTTAAACACCTCAGGTTTAACATGCCAGCACCAGGAAGACCAACAACCTCCATTAAAGAGCTCAATTAGTAGCCTTCTGATTGTTTTCATTCCCAAAATTTTTCCTTTTATACTCCATGTAATTGAAAGGATAAACTTTTAGTTGTTCACACTCATATTGAATAAAAGCCATCCAATAAAAAACTAATTGACTTGGCAATACTTGAGAAGGATTTGATGAGAAAGAACATGTGACTGCTCAACACATCTTGGCTAAACATAACCCCATAAATCACTAGAATTCCCAATCCTCAAAACTCAAACTTCCCGTTAGCAAACTATAACTATAATTTTTCTGAGACCTGGTTTACCCTAAAACCAGTAAAAAAAAAAAAACAAAGACATTGAAAATAAAGAAACGACTTACAAAGATAGGCAACACGAGGGGCTTTCCATTCCAACATGTTGGCAACTCTAAGAAACCTTTGAATTTCAGAAGCCAAAGTAGGAGGCAATCTTTCACTGTTAAACATTTCAGAAACATACACACCACAGCCACTACTACTACTTTCACCATAAGTAAGTGACCTCGTAACTCCCTTACTTTCTTCTTCTTGTTGTTCTCCATGGCCAATGGTTGGTTGTTTGTTGGGCTTTGGTTCTTCGTCAAAAATGGGATCAACAGGAACAATCTCATTTGACATGTTTTCTGTAGCGCTGAAAAGGAAAGGAGGAATGGGAATGATGGGTATGTAAGAGGTGGAATTTTGATGGTTATGGTTTGGCTTTGGCTTTGCATTTTTATTGCTTTTGAGCTTGCTTAATGGGGTGTGTTTTCTGCTTTGGCTTTGCTTTTTGGTGGGAATGGAAAGATGATTTGTGCTCTTTGTTTGTGTTACTTGGTGTTGGAGCTTTTCCTTTCTGCTCCTCTGCTTTTGCTTTTCTTTGGGTCTTTTTCTTTACAAAAAAAAAAAAACACTAAATAAATAAGAAGAAGCAGAGAGAAGGAGGAGAGTCCTTTGAAAGGGTGGCGCATGAGCCGTTTTTTTATTGCTATAAAAGAAAGAAAAGCAAACCAGCCAAGCCACGAGAGAGAGAGAGACAGAGAAACAGAGGGAGCAGGGATCATCAAATGATTGAACATTTCCTTTGAATAAACCGATCCCATGCCTTTTCCTCTTTAATGTTTCTTTCCATCTTCTCTTATAACTTTTCTTATTTTTCATCTCATCCCCATTGAAAATTTAAGTGAAGAAAATACTAATAAATTTTCCCTTTTTTTACTTAAATTTTAATTGAATCACTGCAAAAGAGAGCAAACAACTGTAGTACTACGTTTTTTGGTTTGATAATTTTATTTTAATCGAAAAATTACCAAACATAATTCAAATGTCATAAGAATTAAATACTTAGTTAATATTCTTATCATTTTCGACTATTTTTATCTAAATAGTTTTTTTTCATAAAAAAAAACTATCCCAGACTTTTGCTTTTTGATCGCAAGTATTGAAAGTTCGGGAAAGAGAAAAATTGACAAGAGTGTAATTTATTTTTTATTCTAATATTTATTGTCATTATTTGTGTATTTAAAAAATAAAAAATAAAAATGAGACTTGACTACCAAAAGTTTCTTAAAGTTTGCAATTTTTTAAAATAATGTTTCAATATGTATTATACTTTAACCATAATTTCCCCATTTTCAATTATATACGATTCTGCTTTCTACTTAATTTTTATTAAAATTAAGTCACGCGCTGCATCCTGGTATTTACATTTTATTGATACTTTGTTCATTTGTTTTAAGTCATAGTGTTAGTGTACAGACTTTGATATAATTTTGTGCCTTTACTTTATTCTAATAAAATTTCAACAATTTTTGAAACCGTTTATTATTGTACAGGAAGTTTTAACAGTTTTTCGATTACTTTTGTCAAAATCTCAGGATGAAATTTTAACAAAATTTCGATAATTTTTTATAAGAATTTTAATATATTTTTAAAAAAAACTATATCGAATTTTTGATAAAATCCTATCAGATTTTTTTATAAAATTTTAACAAAACAAACATCTTAAAGTTAAATTATTTAAATGAAATTCAACAGCATTTATACGTTTTCATTGGAGACGATTTTTTTTTTAATTTTTGATGTAAAGCATTTTCAATTTTATTTTTTTAATGAATTTTTATGAAAGATTGCTAAAAAAATAATCTCACAACAGAATTTTGACTTTATTCAATAAAAAATTTAATCAAAAAAATCCTTTTTCATATAAGTGAATAGATTTGTGTGAGGTACACGAAGAATTTTGACAAAAATAAAGTGAATTCAAAAAATAAATAAATAAAAGAGAAGCTCTGGGGCTAAGGAATGTGCTGAATAAGTAAGTAGAAGAATAATAAGAAGTGATTTAAAGGTCGAAGTCCTTTTAGGGTGGAAAGGCTTCTCCCATAGCCAACCTTTTCAAGCAAATTAAAAAAAAATGGTGAAGAAGAAGACAAAATTAGGCACGTTGTGGCTCATGGCTGTCTAATTATTTGTTATCTTTATCATAGGCGTGTCAAGCCATAACACACACACACATATATATATATATATATATATATATATATATATTATTCAACAATAATTTATTTTATTTTATTTTGTAAGTAGCTATTTCTAAGTAACAAATAAAACAAACCCCACGTACCAGAATGGAAAAGGTGATCATCACTTGCTGGAAATTTGTGGAATCATTCGGTTTGTTTGGATTTCTTTCTTACTTGTTAAGATTATAAATTAAGAGAGTAAGATTTATTTTGTTACAAGAATATATTTTTAATTTAAAATTTTTTTTATTAATATGAGATTTATTATATTTTATTTTATCTAATTATGTAATATTTTTATTATGATTACTTTCTCATTTATAAAAAAAAATCACTTTTCGTACATTAATAAAAAATTTGATAAACTCGGGCAAAAGAAAATTTATTTTTTATTATTTCCCGTAAGATTAGATATAAAAAGGACACATAAATTCAGCTTGTCCATGTGTCACTGAGGCAATGGGTGTCTACTGAGAATGAGATCCAGTTGATATAATTGCGACGCTAAAAGAAGCTCACTTGAGAACGATAATAGGGTAAAACTTTTAATCAGCTCATAAAGGCTGGCTCCACCAAGTTGTAAGGAAAAGTAGTTTGATGGTGCAAAGTAGTTTCCACCTTGTTCAAAAAGTGTTAAATGTGGGTTCTACTTGTAAAGTATGTCCGCCGGCCTCTTGTGCATTTAATTCTCATTTGTCTCAGAGGTTAATTAAACCAATAAGCTAATTAGAGAACAGATTCTCAGAAAACAGTTGTTCCTATTTTCATTCCTTCGTTTGAGTGTGTGCATATGCATATGTTGGACTAAATGCTTAAATTGAGATTAAATATTAAATGTTTCAATTGTTATAATTAAGAATTAAATATTTTGATTTTTTACAATTAAAAGTTAAATTGATAAGTGGATGAAAAGTGTATCACACCTGACACAAAATTACTTGAATTGATGATATAGCTACTGACTTGGCATGTTATCCAAATGGTGTCATTTTAATTTAAATTTTACGCTTAATTTTTCTCTATTTTCACCTGTTCTACTTCATCTCCTCTTCAATCCAACTCTCTTTTCCTCAGAGATGGACACATACATGATCACGGGTAAGGCGATATCAACTTATGACATAGAACATTATGAAATGTGTTAACTCATGTATGAAGTATGCAAGACAAATGTCAATTATCGTTTGGATTGAGTTCATTGGAGATATGTTCCGGTGTTGTTTCCATGAATGACATGAGCAAGGCAAGGCGCCAAAGCTTCTATGCCTTGCAGGTCTTGGGCTACCTCTCAATTGAGCCAAAAATTCAACGAAGCATATCACTTTATAGTTAAACCTATAAGTCAAGTAGATGATTTATATATAAAGTGTTAGTCATTTTCATTAGATGTTAACTTATTAATAATTTGTATAAAGTGTTGCTAATGATTTGTACGAAATGTTGATATATCATGATTTGTATGATTTTTGGGTATCAGTGAACTTTTTTTCAAAATGTGCAATATATGTGAGAGGCCAAGCTTGTATAATGTGTTGTTAAATGCTATGGTCGAAAAAGTTATTTCATGGCATGTTGAAAAAATAATATTGTTATTCATAATTTTTTAAATATTTGTTACACAGTATGTTGGAAATATTATTGTTACTTTTTGTGAAGAAAAAAATGTTATTAACGCCATATTGAAAAATATAGTGTTACATGTCATGCTCTAAAATTTTGTTGTTATACGTCATTTTGAAAATTTAATTATTACTCATGTTAAAAATTTAATTGTTGCACGTTATATTAAAAAATATAATTTTTACACACCATGTTAAAAATTTAATTATTACACATCATGTTATACATGCTATAATGAAAAAGTTGTTACACGCTACGTTATAATTTGAACAATTTTGAATTAATGGAAAAGATTTTTTAACTAAACTACCATTCCGTATCTTACACGACAAGATGTTGCATCTCTCTTTAATTTTGGAATTGCTCAAATGTTAAAATATTACATGATGACAAGAAGTGGATGATGAGAGGCAAATACCCAGTTAGATGATGAGACGATAGAGAGGGAAGACAATCACAGAGGAAAAGTGGATCGAAGAGAAGAGGAGGCAAAATGTGGGCAATTTGGATCAATGGTGGGAAAATTGAAATGATGGAAAAACAAAATGGTGGGAAATTTTTCTCAATGGGAATAATCAAATTGGGGAAAACAAAGTTGTTTTTCCTAGACCAAATGGCATCGTTTGTCAAAAATTGAATTCACTTGCCATGTCGAAGACAAAAATCTAAGTCAAAGTTAACGTTCACGTCATACATGTGTCCTACATGCGACAGATATCTCTCACTTTAACCTTTAATTATAAAAAACTAAAAACATTTGATCCTTAATTATTATAATTGAAAATTTTAATTTTAAATTAATAAAAACTCAATAATTTTAATACCAAATTAAGCATTTAGTCATATATATTGTGAAAAAGATGAGTCTTTACTTAGAAAGATTAACCCTTTCAGTGAAATAAAAATTTATATATATATATATATTCAATATCACTTTAATACGCATTTTATGTAAGATTCAATACAGAGCGTCACCGTGTAACAGCGAGTCACCACGTACAGCTTCGTCGGTCAATTCCTCGCACCATCGCGTCAAGGACCTCACACCATAATTTAGTTAAGGTGACTCGAAGTCGGACTTGCCACAAGCTTGCAGTACCTTTACCCAAAAGGCTGGCCATGTAAGTCTTTCTATGTGATTGTCTCTCTATGCTATACACATTCAAAATCATGCTTGTGTTCGTATTCAAAGTAGGCCTCGTCACATACACCTGTTATCATATACTTGCTTACAATGCATTGTAAAATCAAATCAACGATAGAGAAAAATGATTGAAGTTATGATTGGGAGAATAGTGAAGAACTATGAGATTTTTTTTTTAGCTAAATTATGTTAACGTAATTTAGCATTCACATAGTTTTATGATATAGAAATTTATTTATTGAATTTTAATTGATTATATTTTATTATTTTCTTTAAAGGAAATGATTATTTTAGTATAAAATATTTATTTAATTTAATTTTTTTATAGAATTCATCTTTTTTTTAATAATTAAGAGAAAATGGATTCGAACTCTACTCTTTAAGCAGGGAGATAATGCACCAACCAATAAGTCAAATACTAGGGCACGAATTCATCTTATTTTACTTACATATATTTCATGTCCTTACGTTTTAAATATTAACTAATTAGAGATTTGTTCAAATCATAATCCACAAACTATTAAATCAAGTATATATATAGATATATGTATATACTCCCTCCATATCTTTTTTATTTTTTATTCATCTTTTTCTTAAATATATTTTAGTATTTAATTTTCCTATTATGTGAAAATTAAATTTTATTTATTTATACACTTTTCTTCCCCTATACCTTCCTTTTGTTTCCTCCTTTCTCTTATTTTTCCTCCTTCCTTTTCTCTTCTCACTACTTTTCTTCTCCCTTCTCTTCCTTCTATTGTATTTATTTT